AGAGCCGGGACCTAACGGGTACTTTACGCGGGTTCGCGTTTGTTAGTTGCCAGGCCTGGACTTTTCGCGTGCACCGAAATAAAGTAAGGACAAAGTTAGTCACAAAATCTCAATAATAAATGTTTAATCAAGTCTAACAAATACTATGTACAAGTTTTAGAAACAAACAACAAATTTATTAAATAAGAAATCAAATCACAATCAACCCGACAAACTTAAGTCTTATTCTAACTTAGAAACTATTCCCCTTGGAATTCCGACAAAACAAAATTCAATCTTAACTTAGTTACAAATTCTCTTATAACTATCGATCCTAACCGTCACCTCAATTAATACTCAGAACCTTTTTCCTCCACTCAAGACTTTCCTCTTTTCCTATCGTCAAAATCGAACCTTCAATTTCCTACTAGGATTTCCTATTTGACACCTTTTTCACTGCTACCAGCAGACCAACGCTTTCGGTTCAGGAGCTCACCTCGTCTGTCTTCACTTGAGTTACTGTACTTATAGTCTGAGGTGACGTCACAGTTCTACTGGAGACACTCCCCTCATTTACATATCTACGCGTAACATTCTTGTTTTCTTAGTTATCTGGTAGCTTATTTCTTGACAAATACTTTGTTAACCTTTTACAACATTTTTTTAAACAATTATCGGGATGTTTAATTTAAGGTTACACAAGTTCCTAAAAAGTCTATTGGGGGTGTCCATCCTTCAGTGCGGACTTACAATTCTGCCGCTTGGGTGTGCACGTGAGTGCGAATTCTAGCTATGGCACTGTCTTTTCGTCGTCGGTGAGTTGGTTAATCCCTTATCTTCTCGTTTTGACCGTTCTGGGGTGATGGGTAAGGAAACCTTTGTCCTAACTAAACATAAGCCCCAAACAAAAATATAATAAAAGCAAAATAAAAGTAAAATAAAAATAAAGCTCGGACTTAGTTCCTTACACCAAGACTTATTATACTGGCTTAACAGAGAATACAGAGTTTCACAGAAAACAATTTTTATTTAATATTTAATATACCTGGACACATACATAATTTTGCATTTATAAACAAATAAAAATTGTTTTCTGTGGAAACTCTGTATTGTCTGTTAAGCCAGTATAATAAGTCCTGATAATAGTGAATGCTTGTTTATAGACAAAAATTTATAATTTGGTAAGAAAAGGACATTGAGGCATTTTAATTAAATCATTTGATAAGATATAACCACTAATAACATTCGATAATACAAGATTAAGTTTATTTTATACTGGAAATACTTACTGATGAACACACAACTTGGGATTTTTATTACTCTGTTATATTGCGCTGCTGGATATACGGTGGTACCTTGACTTACGAATGTCCCAACTTATGAGTTTTTTGAGATACAACTGTCTCTCGTCTGATTTTTTGCTTTGAGTTGAGAGCTAAAATTTGGGTTACGAGCCAGCTTTGGATACCCTACTACTAGTTGGTGCAGCGAACGCTACGGCAAACCATAGATTAAGAAAAAGAAGATGGAAAAACTGCTGTAATTTTGTCATTTTCATTACTCTTCTGTTGTCTGACAGGCTAGTTTACAGAAAAACATGTGATCGAGTGATGTAGGCACTAATTTACTTCCATGTTATGTGCAGCACCATCGTCTCGTTTCTCAAATTTCCATTTTTTCTTTTTTTATCTATGCAGTAAACACCGTAACATCTGCAAAACCAATTTTATTCCAGTACATTCTATTATTTTTATACAATGGCGAGGTTGAGGCCAAAGTTTTAAATGCGAAAACGTGTACGTTGGACGTTTGGCGCCGCTTTCCCATAAGCCTAGAAGTATGACAATAGTGTTTGGATAGTCGGTGGAATCACGCTCGATATTCCAAACACCATTGTCAAACTCCTAGGCTTATGGGAAAGTGGCGTCGAACGTCCAACGTACGCATTTTTACGTTTAAAACTTCGGCTTCAACCTCGCTAATATTTGTTATTTATGAGTTCATTTTTCATATTTAAAAATATATAACAAAAATATTGTGGTGTTTTGGGGGGTTTAGAACAGATTAATGACATTTCAATTCATTTCAATGGGAAAAATTGATTTGTCATATGAGTAATTTGAGTTAGGAGTTCCATCATGACAAGACACTACTGTGTCATGCTTTTACTTTGTCTCCTGATGAGCAAGATATAAGGTGGGGCTACTGTATTAAGAATAACAAACACACCTGTGATTTGACGATGTTCTTAGCCATTGGCCAATCAAAAACATGAGGGTGTCCCTTTGTATCCCCTTATTTGGAAGTAAACGTTCATACTGTGCAAATTTCACTGTAACATTTGAATTTCGCATTGACATTTTGCTGATAGCGACAATTAATCAATGTATTGACCATTTTCAATCTGAAGTAGATAAATGGAGAACAAGAGAAACTGATAAAAAAAAAAAGCTGGTAAAAAATAATCGTATTTCTGCATTATTTATCATCTTTGAATGTTAAATTTTATAAGTTTTGCATAATAAAAATATTTCCAAAACTTTTTTTACAGATTGTAGTCTTGACAAGTTACCTTTGAGACCCAGAGATGGAGCAAGGGTGATAGATGGAAGCAAACATGCTCATAAACTCACCTGTGATATGGATGAAGTTGTTTATTTAAAAAGGTATGTTTACATCTCTGTAAAATAAAATTTTACAAAAGACTTTTTAGATGTTAGATATACAAACTAGAGCTGGGGAATTGGTAACTGAGCACTGATTCCGACTCATAGAATTTAGAATATCTGACTCTTACTCCTACCTCTAAATAATAATTTAAAGTATAATTTTATTATATTAATTCAGAATGGCATTTCATCACTACCAAGTGAATTCATTTGGCCATTTTTTAAGCAGTTTTTAAGTGAATCATCAGACATTCACATAACTTTGAGTCGATCAATGTCTAGATTTCTCCACGGGCCACAAAAATGTTCTTGTGGACCATCAGTTGGCAACTGTAGAAGTAGGCACTTGTTTTGAATTATATCTCAATGGGTTGAGACAGAAATTTTGTAATTTCACAGTATTATTTTTATATGTGAGTCATTGATGCTATTAAATTTTAATCGTTAAAAGTGAAGTGGGTGGGCAGATCAATGGGGTCGTCACTTCATATCTCAAAAGTGAACTGCATTGCTTTTGTATGAGATTTATGAGATGTTCTGTATCTTATCTATAATGTTATTTCTGAGGGAGACATTCAGAATTTAGAGACAAAAATCTTCAAGTGAATTCAAGTTTTAATTTAAAATTAGATTTATAGTATCAACATAGGAAGTACATTTTAATTCATTGCGCGAATTGTGAAGAGGTTAATATTCGAGTTAGATTTACATTGTAATTTATTATAAGTTTTATAATTTATTACAGAATTTTAAGATATTTTATTTAATATATTATTTGCTTTTTTTTAGGCCAGAAGGAATTGAAAAACAACACAGGAAGAAATGTAAAAAGTAAGTTTTTTATATTAAAGTATGTAAAAGTTAAATAAACTGTTTCATTTATAACGCTTTATATTTGTTTTACAGATGCGGTTTATTTTTATTTTATCAACATAATCCTTCAAGTAATATAACTTTCGTTGCCAAAGGTGCTCTCTGCAAAGTAGTAGAAGGACTTTTGAAAACGAACATGTTCTCGCAAGTAACGTCTGAACCTAAAAAGGTAAATTAAAAAAAAAAAATTGATATTTGTTTTTGTAACAGACATAAAATATTTTAGCCTTTTTTTTTTAGTTAATACTTATTTATATTTTGTTCTATAACTTTATTTATAATGTATATTTTATATATTTGATTTACGTTTTTACAGATTATGGTTACAAAACATACAAAAAATATGGGAAAATTCAGCTCTGTTACAGTTTCGACTATAGATGAAGAGGAAGAGGAAATTGAAGCCGTAAGTATAAATATCACTTGTGTTAGGATAGGTTTATGTAGTAAATTAAGTCTAAAAGTAACTTGCTTTATGAACTTTTTTTCTGTTTGTTTGAAAGAAAGAAAATATTTAAAATTTTATTTGAATTGATAAATTGATAGTTGATTATCATCTAGACATTTAAATAGAGTTAAATAGTGTTAGTTTTGCAATAAAAAATAAACATGTGCATATAACAATACAGCATTTAATTGTTTTAATGTGCTTTAAGGAAAGGAATTCGGAGTTGCAAAAAAAGGCAGAAAAAGATCCATGTTTATTTAATTACTTCATGTACTTGAACATTTTTATATTGTATAAACTAGGGTTTCTGTAACAAGATCGTGGGATCCCAGCTATTTTTTAACACGGGATTTCCTGTAAATTTCTTAAAAGTTCACTTTTTTTAATTTTGTGTTAAGGTTGAGGAAATTTTGCAAATAGAAAGTATAATTAACTCATAAACTGTCAGAATACATTTGTATTTATTAATTTTAAGCCCGCTTATTAGTTTTTTAAATTATTTCTTGTTATTGCATGTCACAGATTGTCAATAATTAATGTGTAGCCTATTTGTGGCAGGACTCTGAAAATTTTTTATATGTAAGAATCTGTAATATCTTGAATAATTGCACCGAAGCGGTCTTAATTTTTAACCATGCCCAGTAGCTTCAATAAGTGCATTATGCCAGGTTGTGAAAATTGGGCAAGGATACAAATGAGTATGAAGTTTTTCTTCATAAACCATTCTTCAGTTCATTGTCCTCACAAGTTTTACCAATTTCAATATGCATCTCAATCCATGTTTTCCAATATTTTTCATCTACACTAACAAGGAAACTGTCGGAGTGTCTTCTAATAAATTTTAATAAAATTTAGTTAATAACTAAGTTAAAAGTATACAAACTCTATTTTAAATTTGTAGCATTCACTAAAAGTGTTGATCAGAGTTATTAGCAATCAAATGTTGCACTACTTTATAGTAGTTTAACACAGTTATGCAAATTTTTAGAAGTGAAACGGCCGCGGAGGAAGACGGCGATATTACATCTATATATATAAAAATGAATGTGTGTGTGTCTGTGTGTCCTTCATGCATTACCACACCGTTTATCCGATTGCCGTGAAACTTTGGGAAGTTGTTTAATATACTCCAGCGAAGGTTTGTGGCATAGTACGATTGCCATGAAGCTTTGGGAAGTTTTTTTTAATACACTCCCGCGAAGGTTTTTGGCATAGTACATTTATCCTACGATAGATGGCACGCGTTTACATGAGCATTCGAGCACAGTGTGTTCGATCGATTTCAAATTGTGAAGACCATTTCCCCCTCCAAAAAATATCTCTATATATGCATTTATTATTTACGATATTTGTTATAATTTTTGTTTAATCACTTTATTTCAACTTTTTTTTTGCTAATTACGTAATCGCTCGAACTTTGTTAAAGCCTTAACTGTATCATGAACAACAACCGAAGTTGTAGAAGGAAATTCGCCTATTTTACCGATCTAGGGATCCCCCTTTTCCAAATTTTAATATCAACTCAAAATAATTTAAAAAGACAAATTACAATAAAACGGTTTATTATCCAACTATCAGAAATTTCACAACATGCCAAGGAAGAGAGGAAGGAGCAATTAAATAATCAAAATTATGAAGGATTAAAAAATATATATAAAAATGGGGAATATTGCACTTCTAACAATCTCTGCGAGTATGTGGGCTAAATTTAAAGAATCTGTGCTTCTCGCTTGGACAACTGTATGTGGCCAACTCATGCGTCGGAAAACCTTTTGATTTATTCGTGTACGCACCAGACGGAAAAACAAAAAATATCGTGTATCCACAAATACTCCAATAAATAAATAGAATTGAAACGACACTTTAAAATGTTTTCCCAATGAAAATGAATAATAATAATAAGTTTCAATAAAAATGATAAAATGTAAATTGAATTTTATCATAACGAGTTTGCTTGAATTTCCTTTCTGAAATCGCAGCAATGCACGACGGGCAAGCTGGTTTAGAATAAATTCTGAAATTTTCAAAAATAGGAGAAGAATTAATAAAATTTAGTTAATAATTATGTTAAAAGTATATAAAATTTTATTAATTCTTCAACCATTTTTGAAAATTCCAGAATTTATTCTAAATGTAATATCGCCGTCTTCCTCCGCGACCCTTTCACTTCTAAAAATATGCATAACTGTGCTAAACTACTATAAAGTAGTGCAACATTTGATTGCTAATAACTCTGATCAACACTTTTAGTGAATGCTACAAATTTAAAATAGAGTTTGTATACTTTTAATTTAGTTATTAACTAAATTTTATTAAAATTTATTAGAAGACACTCAGACAGTTCCCTTGTAAGTATAATATCACAAATCACATACTTCATAATTGTTCCATCTGTAGCTATCTAAATGTTAGTATTCATTTGCAATATCTCACAATTTGGCTTGATATACACAATACTCATCATTCCTCACAGTTAGCTAATCTTTCTCTCTGCTTCTTGCATGATTCTTTCCTTCGCATCAAGGAGAAGCACTGTTGCTTCTGACAAAAAAGTAGCTAGAAGTGCAAACTGGTGCTACGTAACTCGCTGCTAAATGCTATTAATGGTGAAAGTAAGTGCAAAAAATACAATTTACATCCGTTAAGCCCCACTAAGTTTAAGAATTGATGTCACGTCTGAAATTTCTTTTCTTATATATCACCAAGTTGTTTGCAATGAAGTGGCTGAATTGCAAATAATGAAGTTATTCCAAACAAGTTTTAACTGTTCTTGAAATAACCTTATTTCATTTTAATATATTTTAAGAATTATATATTGTTTTTGTATGAATGAATAAAATTTGATAACATTGCTACATTTTCATTTTACTTAATTTATAGAAAATTTAAATTTATTAAGTAGATTTAAAATATAAAGTTAATTATTTGGATGGACTGTGAAAAGCCTTTGTATCTCTCTTACTGAATGGAAATATATACTGTTGGACTTGCTTCTCTTAGCGGAAAGCATTCCGACATGGAACTGAAGACCTCAGATTGTCTATGAATCCACAACCAGCTGATCGAATTTGACAAGATGGTCATAAACATACTTACGATATGGTAATGTTAGTGCATAAATCAGTTGAGTAATTGAGAAATTGACTTTGAATCTGTACACAAAATGAGAACACTGTTCTTTTAATTTTTGAAATATGAACTGAATGCAAAGACTTTTTGACCCATCCACATATATTAATTTGCATGTTTTTTCTTTATTGATTGACTGGTTTTTGTATTTATTACAGCGTGAAGTTGCGGATTCGTATGCAAATAATGCAAGAATTATTGAAAAGCAACTAGAAAGAAAAGGAATGAATAAGAGGAAATTATTGGAGCAGGTATTATTTGAGAACATATTTTAAATTAAATTATATATCACCATATTTTATGGCATATAAGAATGCAAAAGTTGCATCTTATATGCTATTTTCTGTTAGTTTCTGAACATATGTCATTATACTGGAAAACTCAGAAAATTGCCCAACATCTTATATGTGAAGTTGCAATCTATCATAGGCCAATGAATTTCCCAAACAGCCTTTAAAAGGCTACAGCTAACTCCTATCTAGCTTAACTTTTGAATAAAAGCATCATTAATATGTTTAATTAAACAATGATGCAACAATTTCTACAGAATACATAGTATTATCCACCTTTATCTTTATCATTCTATCTAAAAGTGGAAAGTCTTATTTATTTGAATAGTACATTAAGTTGAAGTTTAATTGAAACACTACTAAAATCTTATACTGTAACCTCTTGTTAAATGGTTTCTATCTGAATTATACATTCGTGTTTGTAAAAATTGCAACATTATGAAGGAATCATGCAAATATACTGAGAATTACAGGAAATGAAAAGCATGGTATGACATGCAAATGATTAGAATATCAGAGTGATAGTGCATGCATGGGCTGAGAAGCATCCTCTGAACAGTTGTGTTAGTCATATAAATATAGGGCAGTAGCGGAAAGTTGAAAGTAGTGTATTATTGTTTGCCAGTGGTAAATGTTCACTGTGTCGACAACAAAGGGCATCATATGAGTAGGTTACAGAGTTTGAATGGGGATTAATGATTGGCCTTTGTGAAGGTTTCTTATCACAAAATTACAGCTCGTGGGGCGTAATGCCATGACAGTGATGCGAGTGTGGAAGCAGTAGGCTGAAGAGTACCAAAAGAGTTGCAAATCTGGCAGTGAACAATGAAATGTTACATCAGCATGGGATGCAGACACCTCATCTACGTGACAGTTACAGACCATTCAGCTTCATCTTGACAGTTGGCACGACATTGGGACATTGCTACAGGGGTGCCATTGTCTGCATCCACAGTTTTTGCCTACATCTGCTGTGCCACAGATTGCATGCAAGCATTCCTTTGTGCAGGATTCCCCTGACACAAAACCATCTATGTCTGCAGCTGCAATGGGCTGATCAATACATCCACTCCCCAATTGGCAACTAATCGTCTTTTCTGATGAATCTTGCTTCAATTTAGAATACAACAATGGCCAAATATACGTTAGGTGCTGTAGAGGTGAATGCCATCTTCCATAGCAGTGCATTATCTAGCGTCATACTGGGTGATTGCAACGCATGATGGGCGCTATTGGATATCATGGGCGATCTCAGCTTCTCAAAATTGTGGGTACTCTCAATAGCAACCACTACATCAGGGAAGTTGTGGAGCCTGAAGCCATACCCTTCCTTCAATGCATTCCTGGGATACTACTGCTTCTTTGGTCTGTCCATTCACCAGACATGTCGCCTATTGAACATGTCTGGGGTCAGAAATTCGCTAGTGATGCTTGTCCCACAGTTAATGCAGCTGAACTTTGGGTTTGGATAGAAGCAATCTGGAATGCTATTCTTCAGGTAGACATTCAGAACCTGTTTGATTCGATTCCATGACGTGTAGGAGCTCTTATTGCAAGACGAGAAGGTTTCACTAAATACTGATTTTTGGCATGTAATATTATTTGTTACTCTAAATTTAATTGTTTCTTTGTGTTACTACAGGTTAAATGTAAAATATATTTCATTCATTTCTGATGTTTTCTTCATGGTGTTGCAATTTTTACAAATATGAGTGTATATTTGAAAAAATTTATTTCAATTACTGTAATTAATTAGAAGCTTTGCCTCACTTTCTTCAGTCTTTCTTCAATGACACTAAGCAAAGTGTCATTGAAGAAAGACAAGTCCTTGCTTATTTCATTAAAGAAAGATACAATACATTTGTAATCATTTACAATTCTTTATGTTGAATTTTTTAATAATTGTAATTAAAACTGATACTATGATGTGGAAAATAAATGCCGGAGGTTACAAACAGAATCCAATAAGAATAATAATAACCAAATTTATATCATTTAGCCTGTGATAAAATTGGTATCTTTATACATTGTTTCATTTAACATTTCAATTTCTTGATGATGTTAAGCGATGACTTGCTATAATTTGCTTAATTAATTGTCTAATTTCAGCATAATTTGGTTAAAATATTTAATTATGTAATTAAAATATTATTTATTCTAAATTTTTTCAGCATTATTTAAATATTTTTTCTGCATTGCAGTAACTAAAAGGCTTTTTTGATGCCAATCATGATTTTCATGGATTTGGCTAATTCCGTAGCAGTGGCTGTGTAGTCGAAGACAGCCAAAATATCAGAAAAATTTAATATTACGATCCACATGTGAACAGTTGTCTCTCAGAGGAGGATGCTGATGATTTTATTTTCTGTCTACTTTCTCATTTAATTATTAAAATATATTTAAGATGCTTTGAATACTGTGTTCTGAAACACATACAAAATTGTTTTCTTAATGTAAATATAATTGTTTGTTCACCCCAAAAAAGAATTTCTGGGCTTTTTTGATCAGATTCAATCCAGGCCTCTCAGAGTGCCAGTAGGCTGATGCCATCTGGCCAGAGATTAATTTCATTTAGTATACTGATTTTTAGAATTTTTCTATGCTTGTTTGTATGATTTAGTTTACTTCTGTTTTTCTTTTATTCTTTATACAGAAAATCATTAAAATAATATTGATTATTAATATTTAAAATATATTCTTTCTTTAATACAAATACATTACCATTTTTAACTAAAAATATTTAATTTAACAGGCCGCTCAGATAGAATTTGAAGCAAAGAAAGCGAAACCTCGTGGGACATTGATCGATAAATCTGCCTGTCCCAATATATAAAATTGTATAGAATTCTCTGTATAAAAAGTCATCTGTATTATATTCATTGTAACAATAAAAAGATTTCACAAGTTTTATATTTCTTTCTTTTTATCTGTAGTTATTTAAATACTGTTTAGTTGCGTATGGGACCTATAACAAACAAGCATAACCTTTGATTTAGAGATCGCCGAAAGTGGTCTTGCTCCAAAACAAAGTACAGTAGAACCTCGATTATCCGACCCAATTGGGGACTAAGATTGGTCGGATAATTGAAAAGTCGGATAACCGAAAAGTATGAAAAAATCCATTATTAGTGTAGTATATTATTATATCCCATGTAATTAGTATATTACTATATTAGTATATCGCTATTAACCTACTTCGCGTTGAATTTTCATCGATGTTAAGCCAAACAAAAATTTTTTAAAATAATAATCATCGCTGTTGTATCGTTAAAAAATTAGAAAATTAAGCCTCGTTTAAATATTGACTCCCTTTCATGTGTTGCCAGCTAAAACACGTAAAAATAATATTAAAGTAGCCAAGACATAGCCAAATATTGTAGCGCCACATCACTAGCAGACATTTGAAATTTGCCGACTAGGACGGTCGGTTAACCGAGGTGTCGGTTAATCGGGGGGTCGGATAATCGAGGCTCTACTGTAACACTTGTGTTGAGGCCCATCACTAATAGGTGGCCCTCATTGTAACAGTATTCTGAGTGGTGACACCAATACTAAACAGATGAGAGCCGGTAGGCTAGTAGACTAATGGAGACAAAAACGCCCATTGTGATTTCTAAAGTTGATAGAAATATAAATCATTCAGGAATATTTGAAAATTTCTTGTGTGCAAAACAAGGCAAAATGAAATAGCAACAATTACAGACAATAAAAACTCATTTATTATAATTTATTACCGTAGACATTTTACAAACATTAAGAATTTTTAACAAGAATGTACAGTATTGTTATTTATAAAACAGAACGAACCATGTCTCCGAATGTCCTATTGTACGTTATAGTATTATTTTCGTCGAAAACTTCTGGACGATCGTTGGGTGCCAAATAACGATGATGTATCAGAAGATGCAGCGTATAAAAATTCTTCCATTCGTCAGTTTTTTTAACATATAACATAACAGCTAAATCTGTGTTTACTCCAAAATAATCGATTACTCTATGAACAAGTTCTGGAAAAACAGAAAGAATAGTTCTTGTTGGAAATTCTCCAGCATTGTAATACCATTTTTCAGGATTGTAAAACTCGTACGATTCGTACCAATATTTTAGAAATCTTGCATTCTTATGTGCAATTAAAACTTGATTTCCCAAAGGGTCACCATTTAGATCCCATCCGAGAGTCATTTCAAATCTTCGAAACTCGTGCAATGAGTTAACCACAAAGACGTCATTATCCAAGTAAATCCCTCCATATTCCCTAAGAATTTCAATGCGCGTAACGTCGGAGGAGTGTTGAATCCAACTTATTTTTGTACCAAAAACATATTCTGGTTTCTTTCTATATTGCACTTTCAGCTCTGGAATGACTTTAATCATGTCCCAATATTTCCCTGTTAAATTGTCACAGTTGCAGTGGATGATTATAGTCTTTGGTTTGTGATTGAGAAGTATGGATTTGATGCAGACCATATCTACAAACGTTAATTCGGGAATGTCGAAACGTATTAAATGAACGATATCAGGAACGATGTAACGAGGATACCCAGTTTCATTGTTTGAATCGCTAAAATTGATGAGATCGAAAGATGGCTCCCGATCATACTTTGCAATGTAATCATAAATAACGAACGTTGAACATATTAAGATTACGAACAAAATTAAGCAATATAACAGTCCTTGAAGAGAAAAAATCTTCCGAAGAATTATCATTTATTGCTTTTAAACAGGATCTAGAATTAAAATTTTGTATAATAAAACTTATACACTAAGAGCATTACCAATATCTTAATTTGTTAGTTAACATTGATAATTTAATTATACAGTATTAATATAGTATCATACGAAAGTGAAGACGGAGTTAATGAAAAATATAAGTAAATTATTTTATAATTAACAATTTTTAAAATAAATTACCAAAAAACCTTATTTCTACGCCCTTAATATGAGATAATATAATTATATTCTACACACTTTCTCCGCAGTCTGGACACTAGGAGAGTCTTTGTTACCAATCCCATTATAAGTTTGGCTGAGTGATGAGGGATGAAACTCGACATATCCGAACGGGCTATCCTTAAAAGAATACCTGGTGTTTTTCGACCTGTAATGCTCCGTATCCGCAATAAACAATTAACTATTTACAACTAATAAAACAGTCGTTCTTCACATCCGTATCCATTTGTAATTCTTTGATTTGTAGCAATTTCAGAAATTGGGTCGGTCTCACGAGCCTGTCCAATCCTCCAAATTTTGACTTACTTTGAGGAATTAACACACACTACTGTATTTTTTAAGTGGTGAACACCTCACACTGTTTAAAGCTTCATCATAAGCAACCAGTTTCTCAGTTAGAGAACCGAGGATCAACAAGCTTGCTTCACTTATAGGTTTCTTTTTCTCACGTATTCTGGAGTTCTGCCCCATGGAAGCATATCTTTACCTTTAGAAATCTTTGATCAAAATGTATCCCTCTGTAATATCTGCCAGGTTCCGTAATAAAAAAAGTTTTAGCTACTGGAAAATTTGTAAGAAACTGCTTCTGATTTCGCACGATATAGTGCTTAGTTGGAGGATCTTCAGCATGTTTTTTTCCAGGATCAAGCGCCCCCGAGAATAATAAGTCAATAAATAAAGACAGACAATCTATCCAGTATTTAAAGGCTAATAATAAAAATGTTATGCATTTGCCTATAAGAAAAATTCTTATATAAATCCATACCAAACAATTGAGAAGCAGAAAGCTCAGATTCAATGAAAAACCATTCCCACTACTCCGTGTTTAACACTATTTGTAATTGATTGTTCGGCGGTAACACACATTATTCACATGTTGAAATAAAAACAGTAATATAACAAAATGCCTGTCATTTTATTGAACTTGTATGAATGTGGCTCGTTAGGTGCTTGATTACAGTTCTAAATAACGGAAAACGTGTTAACTGGAATTGTATTTGTGTGTAAGATTGTGTTTCTCTTTATAACCATTACAGTAAGAGACCCTTTCTAACAAGTCCTTTATAAGTTCGGCCAGGCTGGCTTAGTGTTGAGAAACTGGACCTAACGTATCAGAGACAGGTCATACCCCAAAATATTCGGAGTTGTTCGCGCGGAACTCCCTGATGGTAGGTCGACGCCTTAACCACCTTTACATTATTTATTTTATTGTATTTGTATAATAAATGTATATTTAATGACTTATAACGTTTAATTTTGTAGCACATTAACCTGTCTAAAACGGAAAAGAAACATAACCCAAATAAACGAACCAATAATATAACCATTCTAGTCGAAGGATTCCGGTTCGATTTACACATTAAAGAAGCTTAATGCTAGAAAATTATATATTAATTGATCGTATAAATATATTTATGTACTAATAAATAATTCGTAGACTATACTCACCTTGTTGAAAACAGAAGCTGAGGAATAGAAACGTTCAAATACAATACAGCTGTATATATGAGCATATTTTGCAGCTGTATTCAAGCTATAATCTAAATATATAAAATGACTTGTCCTGACTGACTGACTGAGTCACTGATTCATCATCGCCCAGAACAAACCGGTGAACCTAAAGAAGTGAAATTGGGTACACTGTTAGGGTACGTACATTAGGTGTATTAAATTGATAACATTTCAGACATTGTTATAAATATTTTTATATATTTCGATTTTTTATCCTAATATTCAAACCGTTTTAAATTCGAAATTGTTATTCCATATTGGTTCTATTATAGAACGATCTCCGACACGTGTTAAACGAACTGCCAATGTCAAAATGAAAAGTTATAAGTCAGACACAAGTGTTGTTCATAAACTGGTAGAACTTTGATCCAAGAGCTCATAAACAATCAATCCAGGGAAGCAATTTCGGAAAAGAGAGAAAGATTTAAGAGTTATAAATCATCGCTTATGATCATTAAAGTACCCAGATGACAAAAATCGCGAGTAACGAAGATAAATTATGAGCGCGAGTCTTTCCTCCTCTTCGACCAGAAGAACCTAGTGAAGGAATGTCAATTGTCGACGTAAGCATAAATGTTAACAAATAAACGGCTTTCTTGTAAAACACTTGTAAAACACTTGGCATCATTTGCCTCCTCCGTCACAGCCCATATACAACCTTCCCTTAGGTTCATCCTGACGCGGGATTAATTGATCCCACCTAAAAGACGGCAACCTTACACAGGTGCCGTGGAGTGGGTTTTCAAGTCCCCTATTTCCACCGGGTCCCCTATTTCCACCTTACACGGGTTCGCGCCTCGCTCGGATGGGTTGGCTACGTGGAGTTTTCAGGATTTTCTTCACGTCTGTAGCCCCAAAATAGAGGCCAATTTCCTTCAAAAAGACCTCTCGGAAGGCAACCTCCTAGGCAAATCGCTCAAGTGTTGCGTTGCCATAACTAACCAAATAAACAAGAGCTTATCGTATCTGTGAATATGCTTCAACAGATTTGAATTTAAATAACGTAACTTCCGGTTTGAAACGGAAGTTATTATATAGTTAACATGGGCCTCCTTCCCCGACGCTTTCCATATCTATTTTCGGATTTCATCTATCTAACTCCGTTCTCGAGATTAAGGAAAGACAGACAGACGTACGAGTGGCAATGTCGAAGCGCAATTATTATATAAAATTCAAACATGCCTAGGAAAGTGTTCAAACTCTGAATGAGTTTGTAAATATTGATTTTATTTACTTAATTTAATATATAATACTTTTCCTTATATATATATTTGGTAAATAATTTCTACACAGAGACACGATAAATACAATAAGGCATATTGTAAGTAATTTCCGTAAATAATTATTTTTCATAACTTATGAAGTTAACTTGGGGGTAGCCAAGCTAAAATATTATACAAATGGTCAGTATTATGTATGATTATAGCAAATCTATAGCCTTTAAATGAATCAT